CTCTTTGTCATTTCTCTAATAGGGCAACTCTAGGAAATTGTAAATACATTTTTTTAAAAAAGTTGTTCTCCTAGAGTTTGAGGAATGATATTCCCATCAGCAACCTTAGCAGGAGCACAGCTATCAGCTGCATTGATGGCAAAGAACCTCCGGATGCAGATCTGAACTGTGTGAGTAAATATCAGGGGCCTGGAAGCAACCAAAACATCAGGGAGGAGCAGCTTCTGGGGCTGTGGAGATGTCTGCCGTAGCCACTTAGAAACAGACTCTCTTTGGGGAAAGGATCATGTGAACTCTCTCTGTTCCTGTAGACCAGGGAGAAGGTGGAGCTTAGCTCAGGAGGAGAGAACACTTACTCTGCCTTAGCGAGTCCCTAAATTCCTAGAAACTCTCCATGGAAGGTCTCTATGGCTATAAGGAACCCTGCACTGTAACCTGGCCCTCAGACTCTTGGAGGAAGAGAAGCAAAAGCTTAGAAAGCAGGGCTCTGGATTATTGTTAACTGCTGCTTTCAGAGCTATGTATTCTCTTAAGCAAATAACTTAAGAGTTGCTTTATCTATCCAATATAGACAGTGTACTCTATGGTAAAATCCTTTACAAATACTTTATAATTAAAATTTAGATGAAATTCATACATTGGCAAAAGTAGATTTTTAAAAGATAAGACCCTAGAATATTTCTCTTTGAATACAATTCAATCTTAAGTATAAGGACAAAAATCCCAGCCTCAAAAAATACGTTTTAACTAAATACTATTTTTTATATTCAGGTACCTGAGATCAATCTAATATAGTCCCTATACCTAAAGTCCTTGTAGCAGGAGATGAGTGAGGCCAGTTTAGAAATAGGAGGGTGTTTATAAGATTATCAGCCACCCCTGGACTGTAAAGTCTGGGCACTTGGTTACTTTGCATATTTGCTGTTGTGTAACAATAAGCAGATCCTGTGGAGCCAATTATTGCCTCCACTTTACTTAAGTGATTCTCAATCTCATCAAGAAGATCATCAACTTGATTCTTGGAAAGTGTGACAACATGAAGTAGTTCCAATGAATATGGTAAATTTCCTAACATGAAAGTACTTCCTTGTGATACAAAGACAATGGTTAAGAAATAAAACTTCAAGAAAGACTCCACGTGAAAAAAACTTAGAATATGAAGAGTTATATCTTAACTACAGTTTTTACTGATCAAAAAGAAAGATTTCCCAAGTATCTTCCTGTGTGGTGTACACTCTAATTAGAAAGGTAAGTCATGCATACCTGGATAAGAAGGTAAGAGAATTTATATTTATTGATCACCTGCTATGTTTTAGGCTACAGTAGTACAATCGTATAATTTAACCTTGCAGGAGTCTTATGAGGTGGTTGTTAAAACTCTGAATTTATAGGGGAAGAAACTGAGATCAAAGAGGTCACAAAGCCACTGAGATGCAACATTGGGATCTGAAGCCAAATCTATCTAACCTTAAAATCTTTTCTCTGAAAAAATCCTATACATGGCTGTACACGATGACATAGAATGTATTATCATATCACATATGCAGCACCACCAAAGAGCAGGATGTTCTACATAATACGAGGTATTGATATAACTGAATCCTACTGCCAATGCCAATTTATCTGGCATTTAAGTCTGATTTCAAGTGGGAAACCAGACGTTATGTTTGTGAAAAACATCCATTAATATTAGTCTGAGTGAGAACCTAAGGGACTGACCTAAAATAAATTCAGTAAATGTTATTTACTTTTATTTCTATCTTAGTCCTGGAGAGTTGGGGCTGCCAGATAAGCTTCAAACTACTGTATAATTGCTGAGGAACTTTTTTAAAAGAGAGAAAAATGATTTCTATGGGTGAAACTAGTTATACAATTCATAGAGACTGCTCAAACTTTGAGCTGGTTCATATTTTTAGGAATGAAGATGGAAGAGTTCCAACTCCCTTCCTGGTCCAATAAATATTTTGTTTACAAAAATACCTGAAATTGCAAATGCAAGCGCGGCGGGAGGAGGGCAAACAAAAACAATGAAACATAAGGGGCAACAGCATGGAAAATTTAATGCTGATCCTTGATCCATCATGTATCTCCACTGCTTATGATTTTAGTCTCCCAATCACCTTCTGAGGTTTTTAGCAACAAACATCATAAATGCTCATAGAACTATGCATCTGTGATGAAGCCAGTCGTAGTGCTTGGCTCAGTGGCCTTCCAAAACAAAACTGTAGATGCCGACAACACAATACTAGGTAAAGTACCATTGCCTCGTGCTCACTCTAAATTGACTTCCCATTGGTTTTACTGCACATGTCTTCCTCATTGTCAAGCAAAAAGAGAATACTCAGATTTCATAAAAATAATTTAGCACATTTAAATCAATGCATTCTAAAGGGACTTCCTTGGTGGCACAGTGGTTAAGAATCCACCTGCCAATGCAGGGGACACGGGTTTGATCCCTGGTCTGAGAAGATCCCACATGCCAAGAAGCAACTAAGCCTGTGCGCCACAACTCCTGAGCCTGCGCTCTAGAGTCTGTGAGCCACAACTACTGAGCGCGCGTACCACAACTACTGAAGCCCGTGCGCCTAGAGCCCGTGCTCCATAAGAGAAGCCACCGCAGTGAGAAGCCCGTGCACCGCAACAAAGAGTAGCTCCTGCTCGCCGCAACTAGAGAAAGCCAGTGCACAGCAACAAAGACCCAACGCAGCCAAAACGAACAAACAAACAAACATCTAGATTATCCTCTTCTCCTTGCCGGGGTAGCCTGGAGTTTTATGCTCTCTTTTAGTAATTACTCTTCTCTGGTATCATCTGACTGTCGGGCTTGTTATGACCTGCACTCTAACTGACACGCCACAATTCCAGGGAATACAGCAAATTTAACATGAAGGCTGTGAGACTAGCTGACATTGTAAAGTTCTTAAAAGAAGGGCTGATGTGTGGTTACCTTGATATACCCACACTGTCTAAAACAGCATCTCCCTCATGATAGGGCAAGGGAGAGGTAAAATTTAATACATGTCTACATGTATCATACTCTACTTATATGCCATTGCATATGTCTCTACGACGATCCTACATTAATATCTCCATTTCTGTTGATGGGGAAACTGAGTGAGTTGCCGAAGATCAAGCAGCTAGTAAATAGCAGGACTGATATTTGAATTCACTTCTGTCTGACTTTTTATTCCACCATGCGATTTCCTGGCCACACTCAGTACCCAATACATTATTTGTGGAATGTCATCTTCACGGGGTTGTCTATCACTTCTCCAGTTCTGTCTAGTCTCGAGAGGGAAAAGCCTGCACCACTAAAGCTGTAATTCACAAATGGCCTAATGGCCAATTGGAATGCCACATGTTATGGTCAATCACTTAGTGCATAACTAGTGTGTAATTAAGAAGTGAAAATTAAGGCGCATACAGAACCAGTCTTTGTTAATAGTAATGATGCTTTGGGGACTGAGTCTTCATTTTCATTATCACTGTAGAAAAATAGTAAATAAAGGCAGTGGGTAGGATGGTGATCCGAGAGGTGAAACGAGGGTAATTTAAAGGAAAATAATCTGTGGATTTATTTATTATTAAAATGCCCTTCAAAGGCAATTTTGCCTGAGTGGCAATTTTAACATTTGTACTTATTTTCATTATAATAAAGTTTATGATATTTTCGCAATTCTATGGTACTATCTGAAGAATTTTACATTAGAATGTTCAATGTCACCTAAGTCTTCCAACAGAGAAGCATTAAATCTCTGCTTGAATATTCTCAGTAACGGGGAACTTACTATGATAAGAAAATACATTCTTACCTTCACATCAGTCAAAAATCTGCATTCCTACAGCTTTCTTGAAATTATTCTGTAAGCATATCTGAAAGAACTATATGGCAACATACATTCTTAGGCTAGTTCTCTGGATACTGGAAAAGTCCTCAATGTTTATCAGCATTTCTGTGTGAGAGAGCTAGCTACACATGCCATCAAGCTTGTGTCACTAAACAAATGCACACAATTTTGGTACTTTTTTTCATAATTTTTCAGTTTTTAAAATCTAAAACAAACACGTGTTTTAGAAAAAAAAACTGTCTAGTTTTTAAAGAAATTATCACTTAATTAACATGGAGCCCAGCCATATTAGAACAATTTAAGTTCATACTTGTCCCAGCATAGGAGCAAGGAGTGGGGTGCTCCTGCAAGGGTATCATTTAGACCTGAACGTTCCCTTCATTGACTGCAACCCCAGATTTCAATGTCACTTCTTGTCTACCCAGGCCCAGTGCACCAGAAGAGAGCGCTTCTCCAACTTTCCTGTGCTTAACAGTCACTTAGAGTGCTGTTTAAAAGACTCTGGTGACTATCAAAGGGCCACAAGGACTGTAACTGTTTACCCTGTGATATATTTAGGCTTCTCTCCTGCAGACCTTAATCTTATCATCTCTACAGAAACATCAACTATCACTACTAACTTCAAGTTTTAAATGACCTTCCACTCTTGAGCTTTAATTATAGGGAAGAAAACAATACCTTGTAAGGGTGATTGCAGAACCGACTATTTGTGAGACACGCTGCTAGGTATTCTGGGATACAAGAAGATGAATAACACACAGTTCTTGCCATACTGGAGCTTACAATTTAGGAGAAGTTGTTAATCAATTGGCCAGGATGAATGGGACGTTTCACGGAATGAGAAATAGTAGTGTGTTGTTACCATGTTCTAGAACATTTTGAATTGCTTCATACTTAGCTCTACATAAAGTTGGAATTTCATTAATGTTAACTGGCATAGTAAAATAGCACATGGGGAAAAATCTCTCAATTTGCTAAATCAGTATAATTGATGTTGTTTAGAGGTTATAGTTGTTTGATATGAATGGAAAAAAATAATTTGTAGCTACTATTGTTATGGTAAAACATGAAATTATCTATAGACTCCTATCATTTCATAGCTAGTTCTTGAGCACATTTATTCCTTACAACATAGAGGAGAGGTTTCCTTACTTGTGTTCTCACCATTAATTTCTTCAAGTTCGCTGTTAATTCCAACATCTATGGAACTCATTATTTTGTCAATCTGTGAGAAACAAAAACCATATAAAGGAATTATTACATTCACTTATAGTGTTGCACTTTTATTTATTTTTTATTTAAAAATTTTTAATTTATTTTTATTTTTTATACAAAATTTAAAGGTTAGTTTCCATTTACAGTGATTACAAAATATTGGCTATATTCCCTGTGTTGTACAATACATCCTTGAGCCTATCTTACAGCCAATAGTTTGTACCTCTTAATCCCCGACCCTATATTGCCCCTCTCCCCTGCCACTGGTAACCACTAGTTTGATTTCTATATCTGTACGTCTGCTTCTTTTTTGTTACAGTCACTAGTTTGTTATGTTTTTTAGATTCCATATATATGTGATATAATATAGTATTTGTCTCTCTCTGTCTGACTCATTTCACTTAGCATACAGCATTGCATTTTAAAATACTTTCATATGCCAGAAGCATATATGCTTTTTTTTTCCAGAAGCATATATTCTTGATATTATTACCATTGCAATTCAACAATTAAGAGGCTGACAGAGAAGGGTTTACAGGGAGGCAGACATCTTTTGAAATGCTTTTAGAAATACATATTATATTTCCCTTTCTTAAACTTTCAAAATCAGCTTGCCTTTTCTTTGTATTTCCTAAAATGAACTTTGTTTGGACCTACATGGGTCAGTAAGTTAGAAATTGTGTATTCTTTAAACTCAGATGGGGAAGGAGCTGAAGATAAATTCACGTGACGATGTCTACCCTCTCGGGCATACTTCCTCTTCTGTCTGAGAGCATGCATCTCATCTGACCAGTGAAGCATGACCATTAGAACCAAGTTCTTGTTAAATGGTTTAACCAGACACAAGCTGATTTGTAGCATGTAATCACAAGAATCTAGGCATGGAGACAACCTGATGCTAAGAGGTAAGTTAAATGTTAATTAATCCTGCCTTGTTCCAAAAAGGATCTCCAGATGTTATTCACAGAGTTAATAAATATAAGAAATGGATAGATCTGAATAAACTATCAATCTACTACTATGGAATGTATAGGAAGATGTGACTGTCAGAGCTTTAGCTATTTATGGTTTAATCCCTCTCCTCATCATCCTAGCAACCTTAGGAAGACAGCAGGTTTCAGAAAGGACAGTGAGCATTACTTAAAGGTCCCATTTTGTTCACCCTGAAACAGGTGCAGAGAGATTAAGTGATTTTCTCTAACAGCTCAATTCAGAATGTCAATACCAGACACATTTCCATTTCTAGTTCTCAGAATACTATAGTGACCTACTGTGCTTCAAAACCTAATCCAACCAGCACAATCTTCTGAGAGACAAAATGTGACATGTTAGAATGAAATGCCAAGGAAGAGTGTGGTCCATTCTTTGAAGAAATTCAAGAAAAAGCAAGAGACTTCATTACTTTATTATATAATAATGATGTCAGGGAAAAGGATGATATTTTATAACCTTACAAGGGCACTTGCTTTCTGAGTAATTCTATGAAATTAAAGACTTTGTCTTTAAGTAGAGCTTAAATTGGTGATACTGGACTATAACATATTTTTCTTTAATGTCTCTCTAATAGTTGTAAAGGGAAATATTAAGTAATTTGTGTTTTTTGTATGGTATTTGGAGAAAGGCCAGGACCATTCTGTTTATCATCAAGATTATAAAAGTCCTTCTGAAACTATAAGATACTTTAAAGAAGGGAGATGAGCTAACAAAGAGTTTAGCAAGTAACAAAATGATATGGAGCAACAAAAATACAAATATTTTTCTCAATTTGTCAGCTGCAATGCTTGGTAGGACACAATGTGAACATTTTCTTGTACCTCATAGCTAGTTATTACTTCTGCTTGATATCAATTTCTATAGAAACAACAGATTTCCCCTCATGTGTTGTTTTCACACTCACTGTGAAATTATCATGTGACACCTCTGGAACCTTTCCCTTCCACTTGGAATTATATGTGTTTGTTAATTTTTTTTCCTTTGAGAGACTTAAAAAGCTGAAAATCCTTCTCCCAAAACCCCCTCGATGCTAAAGCATTAAATAAGGAGTAATAAGAACAAATCTTACTTCTTCCCATTCGGAAGTGAAGGATGGCGTTCTTTCAGAATTCCCTTTAGAACTGTGATCAGCAGTTGAAGATTCAGTCCAGTTAACTCTTGATGTTTTTGCATTCGAAGGGTAGGCAATGAGATCAGAATCCGATTTAGAGACACTTTTTGATAAATGCATGTCGATCAGGGCTTTTGGCAATGACCTTATTCTTCCCAGGGTACAGGCTCTCTCCACAAATCCCCCCGTGTTCACAATCCACTGGTCCCCATTCCGGGATCCACTCCTAGTTGTTCTTGTGCCAACAATGGTATGGTTTTCGAGTTGGTTGCTTTTTTTGTGAAAAATTGTTCTACTGACTACTTTGGGTTTAATTTTCTTTACCAAAGGTTCTGAGTTATTTTCTATTGGAGTCTGCTTGAAAGGCAAAGGACTATTTGTCAAACTGACTTCATCTTTTCCTTCTTCACGTTCATCTCTTTTCCCATAGAGATGAAATGGATTTTCAGGGGACTCACATGCTGGAGAGGATCCATGGAGAAGGCCTGCAAATTGCCCAGGATCATATTCTTTTGGGGGATCATTGTCCTCCGCTTGAGAGAGATCATCTGCAAAGGGGAAAAAGAAGGTCAGGATGCTTGTTTATAAAGGACTCTGAAAGCCCTGATACAACGTGTGCAATGGCCAGACATTTGATTTGTTGCTACACAGTGATATCCTCACTTTATGAAATACCCATGAGGCTACAGTGCCATGTATAAAATGAATGTGTGTGTGTGTGTGTGTGTGTGTGTGTGTGTGTTTGTGTGTGTATGAACCAGATCTTCCTGAATTACTTTAGGGTGCATTTCAAAGGTATGAATCGGGTATTAATTGAGTAATTGCCCACCCTTCTCCTTTGTCCCCAGGGAATATGTTTTACATTGGATAAAATCAGGTTTTCTTAAAATGGGACACCCACGTTCAAACTCTTGGAGTAAATGAATCATTGTGCAGTAGGACATCAGGCAGGTAAATCAAGATCATATATAATGACATTCCTTTGCCCTTCTGCCAGGAAATAAATTCAAAACCAAAATCTTGAAAAGAAGTATAATTAGGAGTAATTTAAGGCTAATAATCCGGACGTGTTACTTCAAATATAAAATTAAGATTAATTCTATACAGATTATATGATTTAGACAAAAAGGATTTGTTCAGGCTTAAACATAGGCAAACAATGCAATATCACTAAAAATTGAGTGTCTTTTACAAGAAACTGATGTTGAGCTACTAACGCAAAGCTATCTTTCTTTCTTCTATGATAGCATTAGTTATTTTTCAATTTCTTTAGATCTTTGAAAATGTAATGCAGAAAAGAAACCAAAGATGATAATTTTTATTCTTTATAATTTTTTCTAAGATAAAACATAAACATTTGCTGAGATTTAAAATACACCATGCCTTTTTTTAATGACCTAATTTGTCTTTTAAAGACATACTGTGTAAAAACCTGGCCAAAGAAATTAGCAAAGGAAGTCAGTTTACTTTTTTGATTGGTCACTTTAATATTCAGCTAAATCAATGAATTTGGTAAAGTTGCAGGATACAAAATTAATGCACAGAAATCTCTTGCATTCCTATACACTAATGATGAAAAATATGTAAGAGAAATTAAGGAAACACTCCTATTTACCACTGCAACAAAAAGAATAAAACTACCTACGAATAAACCTACCTAAGGAGACAAAAGACCTGTATGCAGAAAACTATAAGACACTGATGAAAGAAATTAAAGATGATACAAACAGATGGAGAGATATACCATGTTCTTGGATTGGAAGAATCAATATTGTGAAAATGAATATACTACCCAAAGCAATCTACAGATTCAATGCAATCCTTATCAAATTACCAATGGCATTTTTTACAGAACTAGAACAAAAAATCTTAAAATTTGCATGGAGACACAAAAGACCCCGAACAGCCAAAATGATCTTGAGGGAAAAAAACGGAGCTGGAGGAATCAGACTCCCTGACTTAGACTATACTACAAAGCTACAGTAATCAGGACAGTATGGTACTGGCACAAAAACAGAAATATAGATCAATGGAACAGGATAGAAAGCCCAGAGATAAACCCATGCACCTATGGTCAGCTAATCTACGACAAAGGAGGCAAGGATATACAATGGAAAAAAGACAGTCTCTTCAATAAGTGGTGCTGGGAAAACTGGACAGCTACATGTAAAAGAATGAAATTAGAACACTCCCTAGCACCATACACAAAAATAAACTCAAAATGGATTAGAGACCTAAGACTGGACACTATAAAACTCTTAGAGGAAAACATAGGAAGAACACTCTTTGACATAAATCACAGCAAGATCTTTTTTGATCTACCTCCTAGAGTAATGGAAATAAAAACAAAAATAAACAAATGAGACTTAATGAAACTTAAAAGCTTTTGCACAGCAAAGGAAACTACAAACAAGAGGAAAAGACAATCCTCAGAATGGGAGAAAATATTTGCAAATGAATCAACGGACAAAGGATTAATCTCCAAAATATATAAACAACTCATGCAGCTCAATATTAAAAAAACAAACAACCCAATCCAAAAGTGGGCAGAAGACCTAAATAGACATTTCTCCAAAGAAGACATACAGATGGCCAAGAAGCACATGAAAAGCTGCTCAACATCACTAATCATTAGAGAAATGCAAATCAAAACTACAATGAGGTATCACCTCGCACCAGTTAGAATGGGCATCATCAGAAAATCTACAAACAACAAATGCTGGAGAGGGTGTGGAGAAAAGAGAACCCTCTTGCACTGTTGGTAGGAATGTAAATTGATACAGCCAGTATGGAGAACAGTATGGAGTTCCTTAAAACACTAAAAATAGAATTACCATACGACCCAGCAATCCCACTACTGGGCATATACCCAAAGAAAACCATAATTCAAAAGGACACATGCATCCCAATGTTCATTGCAGCACTATTTACAACAGCCAGGATATGGAAGCAACCTAAATGCCCATCGACAGACGAATGGATAAAGAAGATGTAGTACATATATACAATGGAATATTGCTCAGCCTTAAAAAGGAATGAAATTGGGTCATTTGTAGAGATGTGGATGGATCTAGAGACTGTCATACAGAGTGAAGTAAGTCAGAAAGAGAAAAACAAATATCGTATATTAATGCATATATGTGGAACCTAGAAAAATGGTGCAGATGAACTGGTTTGCAGGGCAGAAATTCAGACACAGATGTAGAGAACAAACGTATGGACACCAAGCGGGGAACATGGCAGGGGGTGGTGGTGGTGGTGGTATGATGAATTGGGAGATTGGGATTGACATATATACACTAATATGTATAAAATGGATAACTAATGAGATCCTGCTGTATAAAAAAATAAATAAAACAAAATTCAAAAAAAATTCAGCTAAATATTTGCCATGATCAAAAGTTAAATTACCTGATAAGCCCATAACCTAATCTTATGAAAAAGTAAAATATAGCCAATGTGGTAGATAATAACAACAAATTCAAACTTGACTTGCTGACTCACACTTTAAAAAAGTTAGTTATTATTATAAACCCAAGACACCAAAGTTTTTATAAATTTACAAGTAACATTTATTTGGTATGGGCTATTTACTATGCATGCACTGAATTAGAGATAATATTTATATCCCCTCATCTGATCGTCATAACAATCCTGTGAAATGATTAATAATCATGATTTTCTCACAGAAAAGAGATTTGGCCAGAATATGTAAACAAATTGGCTACTACAATAAGTCTCAATAGATATTTGCTCAAAGAATGCTACAGACAAATTGGCTTTCTTTATTGAAGTTTGGTCCCAGGTCTGTATACTCTTGCCTTTCTTGGAGCTGATAGAAGTAGGTACATTCCTGGCTTTACATATTCCCAGACCTCACCCTGGTTCCTGTTTGGCTTTTCCAAACGAAGACATCCCCCTGCCTAGACCTAACACAGTGGTATCCTGAGATGAAAGAAACAAGAGTGACAGGAAGAAAGGTCCGAGAGACAAGAGTCTAAAAGAGAAACAATCTGATTCATCCCGTACTATTATAAGCACTTGATCGTCCCATAAAAACTCCATCCCTTTGTAATGTAGCAACACTATGTCCTTCCTAACTCCATTTTTCCCTCCCCTCACAACAGAGATCCTTCTTGGGGTAGAAGAATGGGTGGAGCGTAAGGCAAGGCAGCCTTAAACTCTTTCTAAAGGCTAGAGTTTATGCTCTATTATATCCATTTTTTAGAAGTCAAAATTAACATGTAGACAACTTAAGCTTCTGAAGTTTCCCCATCTAGTAAGTGGTTAAGCTGAGATTCAAACTAAGGTCTATCAGATTTCCTATATCCACTGGCTTGGAAAATATATTACTATGAAGATAAAAGAACAATCTAGGGTTCAAGGACAATCAAGTAGGCTCTTTGTGAGGAGAGACATGTCTCTCCTGTTTATGACTATTTCTGGAATTTGGGGAAAGTGGATGAAAAGAATTTCTTCTGCTTCATGGAGGTAAGCTAATACTAAGAGAAAATAAAATCTGGTGTTCTGTTCCAATTTATTTTCTCTTTTTTCTTCCTGGGCTACTTGGCTCCCCTATAATGCTTTACAGCATAAGCAGGTTGGTATGAGATGATAGTAATGCATAAATAATGTAGAAGGAAGGAAGAATTCTGAAATAGGGAAGAATTTTACTGAGAAGTTGCTGAAGAAGGCTAAAGGGTTTAAGTTTGAGAGGAAAAATTGAAAAGAGTCAGTCTATTATAAGAAAAAGATTCTGTAAATCTCAGTCAAGAGGTTTCTGATCATGTTCACAATAATGAGATATTTAGGGGCATAATATTATTTAAATTTTCCTATGAATATCATTATTAGGTTACCATCCCTTCGGTGGTTTCATCAAAACAACTACAATCGCCATTCCAAAATGCTTTATATTGTCCATGTGCTCTAGTCACAAGCAGTCACTTCTCTAAGTAAAAGAGAATTTCGTTATTAGCTCATAAGCCTAGGCTTTTGAATAATAGTTCTTAGCATTGTGATAGTTGTTAACATTTTTGCCAAGAGTTGTGAAAAGGCAAATATTACTTATTTCAGTGCCCAAACCCTAAGGATTTCTCAGATCAAAGACAATGTGAAATTGATATGAAACCTCCTGAAATTCCTGTTGGGTGGATTGATTGCAGTTATGACCCCAATCTGCAAAGGCTCCTTGTAGCCACACCCCAAGCCTGTATCCATTCCTCCCAAGCGACTTTAAGTGTGGCCATGTGCCTTGCTTTGGTCAATGGGACAATGGCAAGCATGATATAAGAAAGACTTGAAAAGCACTCATGGACTGGGACTTGTTCTCTTGCAGCTCTTGGAACCCTGCCGCTATGTGAACAAGCTCGGGCTAGCCCACTGGATGATGAAATGATACATTACCCAGGTGTTTGAAATTGTAGGAGTTTTTTTCTTTTTTTTTTCCCCCAAGTATAATGAGCCTAACAGATTAGGAGACAATTGCCACTGAAAAGACATTGTTATATTCATAGATCCCAAGAGGAAGGAGCATGCCATGTCACTG